TTAATTTACGAGAACATTTTTCACAGAGCTTCTTGTTTTAAGAGAATAATGAGTCATAAATTTCAACTGGAGCATGATTTGAAAAAATAATGATTTTATATTCGTTTCACTTTTTTTTTCACAATGCGGAATCATTCATTAACAAGTTCGCTGCGGGTCATCATTGATGCCTATGATTCCCCACGGAAGCGTGACCACATAGTGATCATGCCACAGGGAGCGTCTTAAGACTGCACTACTGCCACTGCAACGCGAACATCCCCCCGCGAGTCCCTCCCTCGGCGTGCATGGGTATGATTCGAGCGACGTGCCGCGACCCACGCGCGCCCCCGCCCGGGCGGGACGCGTCCAGGAAGGAAGCGAGGAGTACGGCGGCGCCCGGGCAGACTTTTGGACCGCGCGGGTATACGTGGGTCCGGCGGCGGCGGCCACGTATCCGGCCCGGGCCCAAGGACGGCGGCCCGCTGAAGCTGCGAAGCAGCGTATAACTCGGGCGGGAGCTGCTGGAGCTGGCTGGACCCGCGGGCCACGCCAGGCCGCACGCCGGCCAGCGGCTACTATGGGAGCTCTGCGGGCGGAGGCACGGAGGTACTAACTTTACTCGCGCGCTCCCACTCACACGCACACACACACACACACACAAATTACGCGACCGCGGCGGGATGCGTCTGCTAAATCACGTGACACTCATTGTTCCGTTGGCAGCTCCGGAGCGCGGCTGGTTCGAATGTGTTTTAATGGTCGGCGGCGGCGTGGCGCGGCGCGGCGGAGGCGGCAAAAATGATTGTGAGCGTGACTCGTTGTAATTGTGCTGCTGTTAGTAAAAAGAAACTGGCGAAAAAGTGCAGCAGGCAGGATACAACGAGGAGCGCCGGGCCCGCGCGCACGTGCCGGGATGCAACCTTGCGATGGATGGACGGTCGCCTCTTTCAATACACCAAACAATTCCGTTGCGGAATGGTATCTGCTGAGGACGGATCACCCTATACTCACTTCATTTTACCTTACGCTAAAAAAATTGAGGACGGTTGCAGCGTTGGATAAATACTTTTTATTTTTATTTTTTTGCAAGAATCGCGCAAAAAGCGTGATTTAAGCAGACGTGCGCACAGAGGCGAACACGATCGCCGTCGGTAGACGGGCAATCCTGAATGGGGCGAGAGTATCGATCGGCTATCGGCGGCGTGGCGAGCGATCGATGAGTCCTAAATCAGGTCTGCAGATTGCAGGGCGCGAGGGGCGTGGCGCGGCGTGGCGTGCCTCGAAGGGCGCAGCGGCTGGCGGCTCCCGGCCACGACATGGCATGGAGGCACTACTCGAGACCAAAGCGCTTTGGCTTTGGCGCTGCAGTATACGAAACACGCAACAGCTGCTCGGGCTTTTAATCGGCATTTTTTCCCTCTCTCGCTCTCTCGCTTAGCGAAATGTCGTAGAAAATTGAAAATCAAAATGCAGGACGACCTGCCGCTTGCAGCACGGTTGAGTAACTGTCCGTCCGATTCGGCCCCACAAACCTCTTCACACTCACTCACACTCTCACACACGCACACAAGAGCACCCAAATGAGGTGTCTGATCAAAAGCCCGCATCTGAGGCCGGAGCGCACTCCAGTTCCAGAGACAGGGGCACCACCACGCGGGCAGGGCGTGGCGGTGCGGGGTGGGGCGGGGCCTCACGGGGCGCCAACAGTGTTTAAGTCGCGACACGTTTTTAATTTCCCGCGCGGCCCTGCCCGGCGCCCAGCCCACCATGCCGGCCGTGCCAACCGCTCGCCACTACTTTCCCAACGGCGGCCGCGGTGCCAACCCGATGAGCCGCCGAGCTGTCCGGGATCAATCAGGCCGCCGGGAGACGAACATCGACTGACGGGTAAGCGCCATATTAAGCGGTCCCGACGTGGAGAGCAGCGCTTCCCGGCGCATTTCCAGAACTCTGTTCTCCATCCTCTCTTTTACACCCCGCCATCGCGGCGCTGCTTTAAAAGTGCGGAAGCGTGATCGCGTTGCTCCTGTTCTAGCAGTTATGTTCGACTTCTGGGAAGGCGAGCAATCAGCAGGCAGCTCGCCGACGCCCGCCTCGTCTCCGAGCGGCTATCTATGCCCCGCTGCTGCGCCCCCCGGCGCGGCGACGCGCGTGGCGTCCTCCTGGAGGCCAAGCAACAGCCGCTCCTCCCCCAGGAGTAAGTGCGCCCGCCACGCCCCACCCGCTCGGCCCGTGGTTGTGATAAGCTGTAAAAAAATGCTGCCCTGCTTAGGCTTTAACACGCGGCGGCAGCGCGCTCCGCGGTCCCGGCCTCGACCG